TATATATATATAGCTTTCATTTTTTGCCATCATTAACTTTATCTGAGTAGACTCCCATGAATTAATCTTGAAATAGACCAAATTGTCTTCAATATAAAACCAACTTTTAATCTCTCAGTTCTTTTCTGAAGCCAACCATGAAGAAAAAGTGCCCAGCCGTATAAGAAGGAACTGCAAAGGGGGGGGAGAGAGAGAGAGAGAGAAAATCATGGGGGATAGATGTCATGGTGCCTGACAGTACAAAGCACATGCATGTATAACAATGTGATAGCAATCAACTTCTGACTGCAGTCACCAGCCCATTCTGAACTGACTATGGTAGAGTTCCCATTCAAATATACACCAAGCAGTTAAGATATCTAACTTCATTATGGTAAAGACTCGATCTTTTCATGTGACAAAAATTACTATTTTTCAGATACATCATTTTTGAATCTTTAAAATATATATTTCCATATAGCATTTGTGGTGCTTTAACTGTATACAATTCAAAAATAAGGTGCACTGCTTTTTAAATTTGTTGATTCCACTCAATAATTATGTGCTTATTTAAAGAATCTATGATTGAAAAATATTATCCTCTGTAAAATTTACAATTATCCCCAGTGAAAAGATAAAGAGTCATTACCATACATTGTGGCTACAGCATATGAAAGTGGTAATGCAATCAACACCTAATTAATTGCAATCAACATTTGTCTCTGGATGTGCTATCATGGCCATACCTGTTCTGTAGTTTCTGGCATCTCAAACACACACTTCAGCTTGGAGTCCATCAGTTGGTCTGGAGTGATATCCTTCCACTGAAGTGAAAACAAAACACAATATTACCCAAGTTGAAATACAGACTTATGGATTTTTCAAGGAAAACCATATTATTAGCTCTTAGAAAATGAGCAATGAATCCAGAAAAGTACACGGCAACACCAACAGTGCAGAGAGACGCAGGTGATGGCTTCATGTCCAGACACATCTTGTCTGTTATTAGAATGTTGTTATGGAAACGAGTTCTACTGTCGATTAAAATGAGACTTTTCAGAATGACATTTTTCAACAATTTTTTTTTCAAAATCAGCCCTAGCAAATGGGATGCAGATCTCAGATAAGAGCAATGACAGAACTTGTCCAGAAAAAAATTGCTTCAATCTATCACACAGAAATTCATCTGCACTCAAGCTTATGAACTATTTACTTATTCAAAGAACATATTTCACAGCTACAGTACTTGGCTTTATTGGTTGAGTAGCAAAAAAAAATTAGTATTTGACAACATCTGACCGCTTTGCAATAGCTTTAATGTTCTCCACTTAACAGTCAAATCAATAGTTATTGGTCTCATTGGAATATAAACGTTAAATTGACATAACTGTAGAATACAAAGTAAATGTGTGTGCATGTTTGTGTAGTGTGATGGGGAGAGGGAGAAATAAATTTTCTTAATGACACTGACATCTATATTAATGCTAAGCTCAACTATTGGCATATAGAATGCTAATGATAAAACCCTCCAAATCCACTTTATAATTTTACTCAATTTATAAATGTATCTATTTATTCAAAAATTTTAATTCAGCAACTCTCTCACATATCGTCAGAGATGAAAAAGAGGAAACTCCACTCCATTATTCAAAACTATTTCTGTTGCCATGGCACCAGAGACATAATCACAAATATAAAACAAAACTACATGGAACCTTTCCAACAATGCCAATTTTGTGGACAATTCAGCAAAGGTTTTGGGCAATTGTATTGATCTTTTTTTTTCTCTCTCTCTGTAATCAACAAACTCACACTTCACATCAGCTGAGTCCCTGTCTTCCCATAAGGCTAGTTATACAGACATTACCAGAGAGAACTACAACCACTTCTTCCAGATCTCTAAACTCATGGGGTCAGTCTTATGTCTCAGTCTCAGTCTTAGGGATCTGTCTTAGAACATATTGTTTTTCTCTTTAAAAAAAATGTTCTTAATCTGTTCTAGGACATTCTGAAGGACTTCCCAAAATCAGTTTTCAAACTGACATATTCATTACAGCACAACATTAGAACTGTTAAAAAATACACCAAATGATCTAGAATAGACTGAGAACTGTAAGTGAACATTAAATGAGACAAATTTTCACAGGGGCTGTACATTAAAACGGGTATAGATACATGTCTGTAGATGAAAAGATTTGAGGTACTTGAATGTATAAAATGGATACTAGTGCTAAGTCTGCCTGTGTTACTTGTCCACTTGTTTAGTTCCTTGTCAAGTTTTAGTAAATAATGGCTTTTAAATTGACCGTGTGTGTGTGTGTGTGTGTGTGTGTGTGTGTGTGTGTGTACATGCAAGTTCATACATGTATGACAGTGCATTTGCACATGCATATATGCAAGTGTCTAAGCAAACATTAAGAACAATTAGATAAGTAAATGTGTGTGTTCACATGCTTGTGCCCACATGTGTTCAAGTATGTGCACATGCACGCTCTCGTGCCTGCATGTGTGGATGTATGTGTATGCATGCTGGTCATATTTTACCAAGTTCTCTTGACTCTCAATTGGTCCATCTGGTGCAAACATGGTCTGGACCATAAATTTGTGCTTGTTCTTCTCACTTGGATCATAGTCAAATGGTTGTAACATAACTGAAAATAAAGAACAATTATTTACAATGAATTTCAAAATTTAAACATAATTTATTGAAACACTGTCTCTGGGGACAAATTCACATAGGAATTTCTGGCCAAAAGTTTGTCTTATCTATCCAAGTTTCTCAGAAGGCAGGGTTTTAAGAAATAATTGACAGTGACCAAAGTTGACAATGAGTGCAATAATGACAGAACCTGGCATATGAACAATATAAAATAATGGAGAGTCCTCCCCCTCTCCCTCTCCTTTGCTAAAACTGGTTGATGAGATACTGTAACAATACTTGTTATGCTCTTCTATCGACAGGTAAACAAGTAACTTCCCTCCCCTGCCATGTAAAGAACTTATTCGCTTAGTATCCCAAAGAGATATATGGGAAAGAGAGTAGTACATAAACAGAATGAAAAAGCATTCTTCCATATTTATCGGAGACATGACCCAATGGGAGATGTTCTCTGACAAATTCAATATAAGACAGCAGATATATTTACTCAATCTACAATTGCATTCATTCATTCATTTCCCAAGGTTTTTATTTGAAGGAGAAAGATCTATAACTATGTTATCTGCCTGGCCACAGTAACAGATTGTGTGGGCTCAACCCAGTAAATTTACCCCAATATAATGAGGATTATCTTCTATCATTTTAGAGTTACTAGTATCCATTTTTGTTAGTTTATCCTTAATTTGGTACAAAAAAATCTATTTATTGGCTAAATCATACACAAATATTATACTTTACTACCACATACACAATTATTTTTTTAGATTATTATCCAACTTTAACTTGGATTTAAATTTTACAGACTAAAGATTTGAATTTTTCAAGTATATATGGTTATAACTAAACTCATCATATCTGCCAAATTAAATACAACTATTGCACTGGGAAAGGAGGTATGGGGGGCACGGGGAGGGGGGGGGGGGGTTAATAGTTTGCCTGAAGCAGATTACTTTAACTATCAGACAAATTTCTGTTTTAACAAAGAAATTATGGCCCACAGGAAAAATAAGATTCCAGGAACAGTACAAAAAAAAAGTTAATAAATATCATTATTTTTTTCTTTCTTATTTCATTCATTTTCATTTACGTTTCATTAAGCTATTATTAGTACTGTAATTGCTTTTATAGTTAGTTCATTTATCTTGATTACTCATTATTTATATTAAATCAATTCTTCATTTTCTTATTTATTCCTTTACCTATCTACTAGTATTCATTCACTCATTCATTTTTCTATTCATTTCTTTATCTGTGTCATACTTATTCATTTATCTATTTATGTCTTAATGTATTCATTGCTCAACTCAATATCTATTTATATTTCATTTTCTCCTTCATTACTGTATGTGGCACTCTTCTGAATTTTCATACAGGTAACTTTTGGACATCTATTTGTTATCATGTTAAGCTATCACTTTCAAGTGATGACTAGGTAATTGGAAAGGACACCTAACAGACAGTTCTCTCTCTTCCACATCCTTGTTCATTGATTTCTACAAAGACATTACAAAAACCCAGACCAAATGGGTTCTATGCCATTTAGAAGATGTCTCGGAGTATTACATTTCCAGATTCAGAAATTGTAGATTGTGGCAAAAATCAAAGGGAAGTACAGTGACAAAAGCCACTGAGGAACCACAACAAATATTGACTGAATAACCTTAACGTCTAGACATGATCTCCTTTAAAAAACCTATTGCAATAAAATGAGAGAGAGAGAGAGAGANAAAAAAAAAATAGTTTTTATAAGAAATTAATTAATAAAATTCATACTGGAATAAATTTTACCTGAAATTTAATGTTTTTATTTTGATTTAACCAGGAATAAGATGTCCTCGGTTGTATGGTGTTGTGTTGATGTCCTCGGTTGGTACACATAGACAAGTATGTGTGTGTGTGTGTGTGTGTGTGTGTGTGTGTGTACACACACAAGTTCATGCATGTGTGACAGTGTAAGTGCATTTGCACATGCATATATGCAAGTGTCTTTAGAAGCAAATATGAACAATTAGGTACGTAAATGTGTGTGTTCACATGCTTGTGCCCACGTGTGTTCAAGTATGTGCACATGCATGCTCTCGTGCCTGCATGTGTGGATGTATGTGTATGCATGCTGGTCATATTTTACCAGGTTCTCTTGACTCTCAATTGGTCCATCTGGTGCAAACATGGTCTGGACCATAAATTTGTGCTTGTTCTTCTCACTTGGATCATAGTCAAATGGTTGTAACATAACTGAAAATAAAGAACACAATTATTTACAATGAATTTCGAAATTTAAACATAATTTATTGAAACACTGTCTCTGGGGACAAATTCACAATGTACTGTAAGTGTCTTCGAAGGCAGGGTTTTAAGAAATAACTGACAGTGAACCAAAGTTGACAATGAGTGCAATAATGACAAAACCTGGCATATGAACAATATAAAATAAGGTAAGAGTCANAAGTATGTGCACATGCATGCTCTCGTGCCTGCATGTGTGGATGTATGTGTATGCATGCTGGTCATATTTTACCAGGTTCTCTTGACTCTCAATTGGTCCATCTGGTGCAAACATGGTCTGGACCATAAATTTGTGCTTGTTCTTCTCACTTGGATCATAGTCAAATGGTTGTAACATAACTGAAAATAAAGAACACAATTATTTACAATGAATTTCGAAATTTAAACATAATTTATTGAAACACTGTCTCTGGGGACAAATTCACAATGTACTGTAAGTGTCTTCGAAGGCAGGGTTTTAAGAAATAACTGACAGTGAACCAAAGTTGACAATGAGTGCAATAATGACAAAACCTGGCATATGAACAATATAAAATAAGGTAAGAGTCCCCCCCCCCCCCCCCGCCCCAATATTCCCTCTCCTTTGCTAAAACTGACTGATGAGATACTGTAATAATACATGTTAAGCTCTTCTATCGACAAGTAAACAAGTAACTTCCCTCCCCTGCCATGTAAAGAACTTATTTGCTTAGTATCCCAAAGAGATATATGGGAAAGAGAGTAGTACATAAACAAAATGAAAAAGAATTCGTCCATATTTACCAGAGACACTTAAGCTTTACACGACCCAATGGGAGCTGTTGTCTGACAAATTCAATATAAGACAGCAGATATATTTACTCAATCTACAATTGCATTCATTCATTCTTTTCCCAAGGTTTTTATTTGAAGGAGAAAGATCTATAACTATGTTATCTGTCTGGCCAGAATGCTATGTCAGATTGTATGAGCTCATCCCAGCAAATTTACCCCAATATAATGAGGTTTATCTTCTATCATTTTTAAAGAGTTATCCATTTTTGTTAGTTTATCCTTAATTTGGTACAAAAAAAATTATTAATTGGCTAAATCATACACAAATGTTATACTTTACTACCACAGACACAATTATTTTTTTTAGATTATTATTCAACTTTAACTTGGATTTAAATTTTACAGATTAAAGATTTGAATTTTTCAACTATATATGGTTATAACTAAACTCATCATATCTGCCAAATTAAGTGCAACTATTGCACTGGGAAAGGGGGTATGGGGGGCACGGGGAGGGGGGGGTTAAATAGTTTGCCTGAAGCAGATTACTTGAACTATCAGATAAATTTCTGTTTTAACAAAGAAATTATGGCCCACAGGAAAAATAAGATTCCAGGAATAGTACAAAAAAAAAAGTTAATAAATATCATTATTTTTTTCTTTGTAATTTCATTCATTTTCATTTACTTTTCATTAAGCTATTATTAGTACTGTAATTGCTTTTATAGTTAGTTCATTTATCTTGATTACTCATTATTTATATTAAATCAATTCTTCATTTTCTTATTTATTCCTTTTTCTATCTACTAGTAAACATTCACTCATTCATTTTTCTATTCATTTCTTTATCTGTGTCATACTTATTCATTTATCTATTTATGTCTTTATGTATTCATTGCTCAACTCAATATCTATTTATATTTCATTTTCTCCTTCATTACTGTATGCGGCACTGTCTTTTGAATTTTCATACAGGTAACTTTTGGACATCTATTTGTTCTCATGTTAAGCTATCACTTTCAAGTGATGACTGGGTAATTGGCAAGGACACCTAACAGACAGTTCTCTCTCTTCCACATCCTTGTTCATTGATTTCTACAAAGACATTACAAAAACCCAGACCAAAGGGGTTCTATGCCATTTAGAAGATGTCTCGGAGTATTACATTTCCAGATTCAGAAATTGTAGATTGTGGCAAAAATCAAGAGAAAGGGAAGTGCAGTGACAAAAGCCAGTGAGGAACCACAACAAATATTGACTGAATAACCTTAACGTCTAGACATGATCTCCTTTAAAAAAACCTATTGCAATAAAATTAAAGAGAGAGAGAGAGAGAGATTTATGAAGAGTTGAATGAAACGGGTCATTTGAACCAAACAACTTCATCATGCTCCTTCCACTTTATTTTATCACAAAGCTGAAACATGATAGGTCACTGGAGGTTGACCGACTGACCTACCCCCCCCCCTCCTAAACCCCATACCTGGGCACAAAATC